AAGAAATGACAGCCCGGGGCTGGGAAGGTGGCTCAGTGGTAGAGTGCTTGGCTTGCATGCCTGAGGCTCTGGGTTCGATTCCTCAGCACCACATAAGAAAAAAGAAAAAAAAGCCGGAAGTGGTGCTGTGGCTCAAGTGGTAGAGCACTAGCCTTGAGCTGAAGAGCTGAGGGACAGCGCCCAGGCCCAGAGTTCAGGCACCACAACTGGACCCCCCCCCCAAAAAAAAAAAACCAGCCAGCCCATGGACATTCATTGAGGGAGACATTTGAGGAAAAATATCTTAATGGATTAGATACCCTTGATGTGTTTGGAAAAAAAGCTTTAGTGGGCATATTTGAATAAGCAAGTTAGAAGAAAAGGAAGCTATGGCCAAAAGATAGGATGCTTGGTTTTGAAAGGTTATGACAAGATCAAAGGTATAATCACAGAATTAGGTACTTATTGAAGAAAACATGGGAGATGAGGGATTCAAGAAATGACAAGGCTAGGATGTTGTCCTTGTAAGCTTAATCTCATCCAAGTAGGAACTGAAGATGTTGCTACACAGAAGGGAGTTCAGTAGGATAGTACCCCGTGAGAGAGGAAGAGCACTTGGAGATCTGATGACATCTGTTGGGATGGAAGAGGGGGAAATAGCCTAATGGCATGTAACTCAAAGTATCAATTTAAAGATTTCAGAGAGGCTGGGAATATGGCTTAGTGGTAGAGTGCTTGCATAGCATTCATGAAGCCCTGGGTTTGCCACATAAACAGAAAAAGCAGGAAGTGATGCTGTGGCTCAAGTGGTACAGTACTAGCCTTGAGCAAATGAAGCTCAGGGACAGTGTTTAGGCCCTGAGTTCAGGCCACAGGACTAGGAAAAAAAATAGAAAAAGCATTTAGGGTAATGACTGGGATGCAATAAGCGAATTTTGTATAAAACATATCTAATAGGAAAAAACAAAACTCAAAATAAAAACCCAAGTAAAAACATCTAAGAGCTAGGATATGAGAAAAAAATCTTTTTTTTGAAGTATTTGAAATATTTTCTTTCTCTACCCATTCAAAGCCTATTATTATCCAAACTCCATTTTGAAAAGCTTTCTTTTTAGCTGGAATGCCAGTACTTAATAGAGAGCCATCCTGACGACAAAATGTGTTTTCTCATAGTATAATACCAAAAATCAAAGCCGGTGCCAGTGGCTCACACCTGTAATCCTAGCTACTCAGGAGGCTGAGATCTGAGGATCATGGTTCAAAGCCAGCCGGGGCAGGAAAGTCTGTGAGACTCTTATCTACAATAAAAACCACTAGAAAACAGGAAGTGGCATTGTAGCTCAAGCAGTAGAGCACTCACCTTGAGCTTAAGAGCTGAGGGACAGCGTCCAGGTCCAGAGTTCAAGCCCCACGACAGACAAAAAATAAACCCAAAACATGAAACAACAAAAATTATTTAACAAGAAGCAACAAGACATGATAGGAAATATATGAACTTTGGAATTAGACTTGCTTTTAGGTCTAATTCTGTTTCCCCCCCCCCCCCCCCCCCGTGATCAAACAAAGGATTCACCTTTTCTGAGTCCCTATTTCTCAACAAAATGGGAATATTTTTAACTTATAAGAGAGCTGCTGTGAGGAATGGCGTGGACTATTAAATAGCACATGTATGGAAAATCTGCAGTATTACATAAATGGGAATTATTATTTCTGTAATTACTGATCTTCTTCCTAACTCCTTCGCCTAAGCTTATACTTTCTGACTGGGAAAATCACTTTCTCTAATTTCTCATTAGAATACTAACATAACGGTGTAGGTCTGCCAGTTCCCTTAAAAGTATACTATTAATATGTTTATACTGACTTCTCCAATCTTTGAGTATCTTACTATTCATTTTGTATTTCAGTCACCTAAATTCTCATGGCTAATTTTTTTTCTTCCCGATATAAAGGCATGTCTTTTAGATAAAGTTAATGAATTTTCCAATAATAACAGAAGAATAGTAGTATGTAGGTCAAGATAACTGGTCAGAGGTTGCTAGAAGGTAAAATTGCTCCAAAGATTGTGTGGGTTGCTTAGTCCAATAATTCTTTGAATAGGTCTGCAATTCCTTATTCACCATTTTGTTTGTTTTTTTTTTTTGGGTCTGGTCATGGGGCCTGAACTCTGGGCCTGGGCGCTGTCCCTCAGTTCTTCAGCTCAAGGCTAGCGCTCTACCACTTGAGCCACAGTGCCACTTCTGACTTTTTTTCTTTTTGCTTATGTGGTGCTGAGGAATCGAACCCAGGGCCTCTGGCATGCAAAGCATGCGCTCTACCACTGAGCCACCTTCCCAGCCTCTTATTCATCATTTTGAAATCCAAAAAGCACTAATTTTTATTCTTTTTTTTTTTGGTGGTCATGGGGCTTGAACTCTAGGCCTGGGTACTGTCGCTGAGTTCTTCAGCTCAAGGCTAGTGCTCTACCACTTGAGCCACAGTGCCACTTCTGGTTTCCTGAGTGTTTATTGGAGTCTCACAGACTTTCCTGCCTGGTCTGGCTTTGAACCGTGATCTTCAAATCTCAGCCTCCTGAGTAGCTAGATTACAGGAGTGAGCCATCAGCACCGGCTAATTTTTATTCATTTTTAGATTTGGTAAAATCTGTCCTGACAGGAGTCATTTGCTATTACAATTTCAATTCAACGAAACCCATGGTGGCAGATAGCAAAACCTGATTTGAAGTGAGACTATATGCTTCATTTATGTTAGTCTGATAATTCATTTTTTTTTCCTGAATGTTAACTTGATTATATAGTGCTGCTGCAGACCGCATAGGATGAAAAGTGCACCTCTCAAAAAATTGGAAGAAGCTGAATTTTGAAATTAATCTTTCAGAAAGGCCTCTTGCAAAGACTTGTGAGTTCATACCTCATTGCTGCAAATGTAAGTGAATTTTGAAAAATACAATGAAATACTGAAATAATATTTTTTTTCCGAGAGAAGCATACTCTAACAATTCAAGGAATCATTATTAAAAGGAATAAAGCAAGTCAAAATAAAGAAAAAAAGACCTTACGGGGAAACATGTCTAAAAATTCAAGAAACTATTATTATTATTATTATTATTTTGGTCCATCATGGGCTTGAAAGCTGGATGGGCGCTGTCCCTCAGCTCTTCAGCTCAAGGCGGGTGCTCTACCACTTGAGTCACAGTGCCACTTCCGGTTTTCTGATGGTTAATTGGAGATAAGAATCTCATGGACGGGGCTGGGAAGGTGGCTCAGTGGTAGAGCGCTTGCCTTGCATGCCTGAGGCCCTCGGTTCAATTCTTCAGCACCATATAAGCAAAAAAAAAAAAAAAAAAGTCGGAAGTGGCGCTGTGGCTCAAGCGCTAGAACGCTAACCTTGAGCTGAAGAGCTGAGGGACAGCGCCGGCGCCAGGCCCAGAGTTCAGGCCCTATGACCGGACCCCGCCCCCCCCCCCCCAAAGAAAAAGAATCTCATGGATTTTCCTAACTGAGCTGGCTTTGAACCGAGATCCTCAGATCTCACCTCCCAGTAGCTAAGCTTACAGATGGTGAGCCACCAGCATCTGGCTTAAAATTCAAGAAAATACTCAGAATAGCATAGGGAGTCTGGGAATGTGGCTTAGTGGTAGAACACTGACCCTAGCAGGCTTGCTCAGTACCGTGAACAGAAAAAGCTGGAAGTGGCGCTGTGGCTCAAGAGGTAGAGAGCTAGCCTTGAGCAAGAGAACCTCAGGGACAGTGTCCAGGCATTGAGTCCAAGCCCCAGGATTGGCCAAACAAACAAAAACAAAACATAGGGCTGGAGGTGTGATGGGTTCTTGAGTCAGCAAGTGCATGACGCTGAGTTCAAACTCTAGTACTGCCAAAATAAAAGAATGTGCAAAAATATCCAAAAAAACCAAAACCAAAGTAAAAAATATCTGCATATTTTCCTCTATTATGGTTTCTATTGTTTTTTATTACATAAATTGAAAGCTACTGCAATTTGAAATTTATTACCCATGAGTAAGTGTCCTAATACAAAGAATGAAATCTTAAGTGTTTATAAAGCTCACTGCTCTATTTACCCCCCTCCTTTTTTTTTTCCCACTTTCAGTATATTTACTCTTTTTTTTTTTTTTTTGCCGGTCCTGGGGCTTGAATTCAGGGCCTGGGCGCTGTCCCTCAGCTTCTTTTGCTCCGGGCTAACGCTCTACCACCTGATCTACAGCACCACTTCTGGCTTTCTCTATTTTTTTTTTTTGGTCGGTTTTGGGGCTTGAACTCTGAGGCTGAGCACTGCCCCTCAGCTCTTCAGCTCAAGGCTAGCTCTCCGCCACGTGTTATAGGCTCACGCCTATAATCCTAGCCACTCAGGATGCTGAGATCTGAGGATTGCAGTTCAAAGCCAACTGGGCTTGAGACTCTTATCTCCAATAACCACTCAGAAACCCGAAAGTGGTGCGGTGGCTCAAGTGGTAGAGCGCTAGCCTTGAGCTGAAGAGCTCAGGGATAGTGCCCAGGCCCAGAGTTCATGCCCCATGATGGACAAACAAACAAACAAAAAGAGGCTAGAGCTCTACATTTGAGCCACAGCGCCACTTCCTGTCTTCTGGTGGTTAATTGGAGATAAGAGTTTCCTGGACTTTGCTGCCCGGGCTGGCTTTGAACGGCGATCCTCAGATCTCAGCCTCCCGAGTAGCTAGGATTACAGGTGTGAGCCACCAGCGCCCGGCCCACTTTCTTAGCTGTTGTTTTTATTATTAGGTTGCTGCCAGGAACGCTGATGACTATGTCGATAAGTACGTTCTTCATCTGTGGAATCAGAAGGCTGGGACTAAACCATTTGTAAAGGTGCTCCGGGATTTCTACCGAGGATCCAATACCACACACCCTTCAAAGCCCAGGGCAAAGATCTCCAACACCGAGGAAATCCCCTGGCCCAGGGGGGGCGGGCCGAACCGGCCCGGCAGCGGAAGTGACCGCCCCTGGGGGCGGAAGTGACGTGGCGCCGGCGCTGCTGCGAGGGTAGGTGTTGCCGGACGGTGGAGGGAGGCGGTGGTGGCGGAGGTGGTGGCGGAGGTGGTGGCGGAAGAGGTTCGACGGCCGATGGCGGCTCCGGATTGGAAAGTTGTTTGACGTCCCTCTCGTCCCGCACTGGGTAAGCTGCCGCTCCGGCCTTCCCGGTCCCCGGGGCGGGCGAGCCCCCAGCCCCGAGCCGGAACTCTGGGGCTCGTGCTGCGCCCCCAGCGCGGGGAGCCGCGGGG